CACTGAGCTATCCCTCTCTCAACCCTTGACCTAGAAACAGTGCTTTCCCTAAGTAGTACTCAACTCAAGACCCTCCATGGGTTGTAATGGTACAGTTTATATGGTTAATGGTAATTCTAAAAAACTTTTAATTTAATGAATTGAGACTGTTTTTCTTGTACAATAGGAGGAAATAAAATGAAATATGTTTTGTGTGAATAACACACAAAACGCAACAGGCGGAATGTTCCATTGTCTATGTGTTCTAAAAATGTAATATATATAAAACATCTAAATAGAATCCGTCACCATTTTTCTTTTGAAACCCGTAGACTCCCGATCACCTCCTTAACATTTCCCCACTTTGACTGTTGCTGCATGGTATATGGAGGCGTCTGAAGGGATCTCGAGGTGAAACTAAAATGTTTGTTAAATTGCTTTGTATGATTCATCTTCGGGATCCCAAGGGACTCCCCTGTTTCCTGTTTTTATGAAAAGTTGAGGTGGTTTTATTCTTCCTACGGCCGTAAGTATTTCCTGGCAACCTTCCTCTTTCAAGTCATTCCGTCCCACATCTCCTCATACATCTCCGAGCTCCTTCCATTTAAATCCTCTGTCCACTCCACTGTCTCCGGTCTTCATATTTATATGTAATGTCCAACTGAGCCGCTGCTTTTGATAAATCTTTTATTATTCGATCCTCATCCCTATGGAACCCTGTCCCTCCCTACATCCGTCGCTCCAATAATACTCTCCCTACTTATATACATATATATATTAACATAATTATTTTATTGGGAACAAGGTTGCTTTATAATTATTCAATAAACTACTAAATGTTCATTGCTTCTGTGTTTATTCGACGTTTTTGATGTGAATAAATATAGTATTAAAAGCAAAAAAGAAGATACGGTGTTAGCTATTCATACTATTAAAAATAAGCATAAAATTGTGTTCGATAAAGTCAAGATATTAGACATGGAAAAGAATCAGAAAAAACGGTTGATTTTAGAGATGATGCACATTGGAAGAACCAAATACGTAATAAATACCCATAATGATATGGCCAAATTGAATTGTGTATATAGAAACATTCTAAAATTTGTATAATTTAGATGAGGGATTTTGATTGATTTTTGGGCTGCATATCTGTTGATGTGTTTATTTAGTGAAGGTGAAAATAAAATTAGGGAATGGAAATTATAGTTGTTTTTTAAATATTGTTTCATGATTTTATAATGTTGACATTTTATAAGATGACTAGTGTATATATATTTTAAATAGTTGATATTTATTTATGTTTTTAACAATTTAAAAGTAGTTGATATTTATTTCTATTTTTAAAGATAGTTCGATGATATACATATGTGTTCAATATTAATTATTAATATAAATTTTGATACATTAATTTATAATCAAGAGAGAGTTGTTATACAAGCTATTTTTGTTGTCGATAAAGATATGTTCTTAATTCTGTTATATTTATCATGGATGAATTTTGCAATTGCTTTATATAACTTAGATGCAATTTTCATTGTTTTGTAAGTAATATTTTACCTTCGGGCTCAGGACAGGGGTGGACAGATGCTTAGCGGTCCAGTAGCTTAATATCTATGCTGGTGGAAGGTGCTGAGATTGTCGGTGTGTCCCTGGCCTGAGGTATCGAAGCTCTGTTTTAAAAATAAGTTAAATTTTGAAATAATATTACTCGAAGCATAAGGAAGCATAATTGTGTACCGATAGAGATATTTGTTGTTCTAGCTTTGAAGAGGATAAATGAAGAGGAATCATTGTTAACTTATAAAAAAAGGGATCAAAATGTTGAATAAACACAAAAGTAATGAACATTTAATAGTTTCTTGAATAATTATTAAGTAACCTTATTCCCAATAAAATAATTATGTTAAAATATAATACTCAAAGGTCGATTGAAGACATTTTTAAAAGAAATATATATATTATAAGTTTATTTCAATTATATTAATTTTATGTTTCTTCCATTATTGTTTCTTAATTAGTCATAGTTACAACTTGACTTGTAACTTAACTTAAATTTTTTTTTCTAGTATATCTATTAGTTTACTTTGTTAATGCATTTATATATCTCCGACACTCAAAAACCCACATTTAAATCCTTGTTGATAATTCTAAAGGGACTCGACAAAGAATAAATAAAATATTATTATTATTGTATATTATACATTCTTTAATTTACTTATGTCCATAAATACATTTTGATTCATAAAAATATACATGGTTAAATGTATAAAGCTCTACATTTATAAATAAATGACATTAAATTGGTAAGACTGTTTTGACATAGTAAACAATTATTAGTTTTTCAGTTTTCATTGCTCTGCTATTCTATTCCTCCTTTATTTATTTTTATTATAATATACCTATGCTCATTCATTAAACCACTTTTTGTGCAATGAAATGAAATGAAAATATTTTTTTAATTTTTAATAACGGATTGAGGGTTTAATTTTAATTAGGGTGTTAATTTATTTATTATTATTTTATTTATTTTACTTTAGAAGAAAAATAAATAAACTATATGAAAAGATATCTATGTTGTCCTCGAATGACTGTAAAAAAATAAATAAAATAAAAAACAGTAATTGTTGAACTATCGAGCTCTTAAGGATAGTATTTTAATTTTTTTTTTGTTTACATGCTTACATATAGTAGCTGTATATGCATTATAATTTAGAAAGAAAATACTTTGTTATTGTTCAGGTATTCTGCCCAGACACAGTAACAAATATGGACCAATAAAAAACCAATTATGGGTCTTTTGCAGATTACTCCCACCAATTATTTTTAAACAGTAAGAGTATGTTTTTTTTAAGAAAATTAGTTATATTTAAATCAATGTTATTCTTCCTCTATTATTTTAACATTTCGTTAGCAAAATGTACTCCTTCAGGTTATACTCCAGATTGAATAACTGTCGAGATTTATGATTTGTGATTTTCTAAGCAGAAGTTCAATGTTGGGAGGATATTTCTCCAACAATGGGTGTTTGGAGGTATATGTCGTAAAGGAGTCCTTCTAGTAAGCCGTCCTTGAACAAAACCTTACATCATGACCTTGCCATCCCTTATGTCCTGGACTTTATTCCATCCCAATTCTCAAATTTTCATCAGAATCTAATCCATCATCCTAATCCCTTAGCACAATCCTTATCCAGTTCCAGTCATCCCTACAATTCTCCTAGAAGGTTGAAACGGCAGTGGCATTGAGATCTTTTGTAAATACGTCAATGGAGTCGTGGCAATGGCCAGATTCTCCACTCAAGTCATGAGCATATGTGGCTTTAGTGCCATCTCCCGTTCCAGTGATGCGGCTGAGAGAGAAGCGCTGGGATCTCGCCTTATCTCGAGTCTTGCCTTATCCTCCTGACTTGGAGCTCCTTCAACTGACTGTAAATATTGTAAATAAGTATGAATGTGTTTTTATTTTATTTTTTTATTTAATGTTGTCTCATGTATCATTTATTCTGTTTTACTAAGTTTTCTTTTCTTTTCTGTTTTTTATAATTTTCTTTTGTTTTTGTTTTAAAGTATATATGGTATGATAGTGTTTCATGCATCCAAAATACTCCATGCTCTTAATTGAGGTAAAATGTATTTTTTTTTCAGTAAAATAAGTTTTTAGAAAAATCTATGCTCTCCATTCATAGTATTTCATAGATGATACTGGGGTGGACACTCAAAATGTAAAGTCTATGCGGGCTACTTCGAAGAGAAGAAACAAGAAGGAATGTGTACCTCAGTCAGAAAAATGAATGGCTCATATTGCTGAAACTTTGTTTGTCAAAGAAGACGGCGCATACAATATTTGTTTACGATTATTAAATATCGAAGAGTTTTGGGGATGTAAATAATCTTTAAAAAATTATGAATTAGGTTAACTATAAATAATAGTTTTTATTTAATCACATAAAATAACAGGTTACTATTAAAAAAATAACTGGCCCGGCTCATTTGCAAAATACCCCAAATTATGGTTCTGTTTGGAGAAAGAGGAGGTTCTGCTTGGAATCCTACTCTGTAGATTCACCAGTAGTACCCATTAAATAAGTTATGGACTTGATCTAATCTTATTTACTTTTTTATCTCAGTACTGTTCTCTAAGCAACTTACACATTCGTTTTCATTCTGGAATTCTACTATGGAACCATTTTCTTCTTAGACGATGTCATAGATGGTTGATGAATTTTATTCAAAATATATTGAATATTCATATTAATATTTTGTTTTTCTTTTAAGTTTTTTCTTGTCAGGTTGGTATGAACCACGTTGATAGAGTGTGTCAATGGTAATTTTAGATTAGTAGGTTAGATTTTTACAAAATTACTGACATAACTTGATTTGTCTAACATCCATACTACTAAAATTTAAATTATATTTAAAATTTTGCGACTTCTCAAAACATAAAATAATTTCTCTCAGAAGAAATAATAAGAGTATTGAAAAGAAAATCCAGCATGGAGTGTCAACGAACTTAATACATATGCAAATATAATGGGACGAGGAGGGAGAGAGAGGAGGACAGGATAAGGGGGAGAGGTTAATGTTTGAAGCATCCATAAAAAAAAAAAAATTTAATATTAAAATACTGACAACTTTTAAAGCTAACAATAACTCTTCTGATGGAACAGAAAAAAAATGTATGTAATATTGTTTCACTGAAATTTTCATTGAATTAAGAAAATAACAAAACTATACTTCTTTTGTCAGACACCTTAAGAACGTAGGGTGTGAGATGCACGGTCCCTGTTGCCCATCTCTAGGTATGCCTAGAGAATATTCTTATATAATAAGAATTTATGAATTCATAACTTTTCTTGTATGATATTATATTTTCAAACACAATGCTTGTCCATTGTTTTATTCTTGAACTCAATAATTAAAAATGAACATTATTTTTTTCTAATACTCTAATGTTTTTATACATTTTTCTCTTTAATTTAGTACATCAAGAAAACTTCAGTCTTTATTATTTTAATCCTGACATCACGGTAGAAACAGAGTAGGTGAATTGAAGAATCTGTAAAAAAAAAAAAAAACTTAAAACATTAAATTAATATCATGTATTTATTAATTAAATAAAAATAGAAAAACAAGAGAAAATAAATATTTTTGAAAAAAAAAAAGGTAATGTTTCAAGGAATTTTACAAAATATAGACAAGATTCCATGCAGAATTGATTTTTGTAAATTAGCTTCCTTATTCCATTTATATTAGCATCAGCATTCCAAAATATTCACTTAAGTATTGTTAATTTTAAAAAGCTCCTTTTCTTAATACTTTGAAGGCATAGATTTGTTTCATTATTATTTTATATTTTGTGTATGATAAATTAATAATGCTAGTTAATGATATGATCAGAGTTTTTATTTATTATTATTTTACTTTTGTTAATTTTGTTTCTTTTTTGTATATACGGTGTGAATGTGTTCATTTATCAATATAATTATTGTCACTGTGACAGAATATTATATGTCTAAATAAATAAATAAAAAAAAAAAAAATTTAATGATAATAATATTCCAGATGAATCCAAAACCTGCTACAAAACCTGGATTTCCCTACTCAACCGCATTTCATTTTTTATTTTCTAAATTTGTTAATGTCTGAAGAGAATACCGATCTAAATAAATTCCTAAGGGAGACAGAGAAGAATGAGAATAAGTAGGAGGTTCAGAGAAGAAAAAAAATAAATGACATAATCAAGCTGATGAAGAATCATCAGCCGCCATAAATATTGATGAAATCACACCAGACATGTTAAAATATTGTGACAGTAATCTGAAACGTGGATGGAAGAAGATATGCCTGAAGATTTGACAAGTGCTGCAATATGTCCCATAATCAAGCAATGAGCCTAGCTAATATGTAAAAATTATGGAGGCATTGCTATATTAACTATAACCTATAAAATATTGGGTGAACTTGCAGAGAACATGATTTGGGGAAGAAGGGATGAGAAGCTGCATGAACTGTTTGGAGAATCTTACATTGTGCATTGGTAAAAAAAAGCTCAAATAAGCATTCTTTCTACAAGACCATGATGGGTCATATGGGAGCCCAGATGACAAAAGAAGTATAAGGCGCCCTCACATCAGATGACTGGCGGATTTGGAGGAAGATCCAAGGTGGCTGGATGATAGAAGATAGAGGGAGATAGCACAATATATTGTGGACATTGGTTGGCTGTAGTGGAGGAAACCTGGGTTCTTGCAGGACTGTAGTCACATAATAATAATGATACATTTACAAAAAAAAAAATTACATATATTGTTTAATAATAACTTACATTATTATTTATTATTATTATCTTTAAATAGATAGATAGATAGATAGAAAGTAAGCTTTATTCTGGGACGAGGTCCCTTATGAATACCATTTATGAACAAAAAAATAAGATTAGGTTTCACTTGTGAATTTAATATTTGATGTGTGCCCCACACAAGTTGTTTCTGAGACATTTGGTTTCACTTCACAGCCCAGTGTTTCTTTGGTATTTTGAAAACTTGAGTAAAGACACCAGCATTATAAGAAGACTTTTTATTAAATGTCATTCATCTAGTTTTTTTTTTCATTAGTTACTAGAAACTAATAATTGTGGATTGATGGTTGAATGTAGTGAATATTTGAAAAGAAGATTTTGATTGAGCACTCTGACCAATCTCTTCAATTAAAAACTAGTAAGTGTTTAATTTTCTGTAGCTTTTAATTGGTTGTTTTTTATTGTGTTAAAAATATCATTAAATTGAATGAATATGCAAAATATTTTGACTCCCGGTTTATTTAAACTAAAGTAATTAAGGTAGGGCAGAGACTGATACTAGTACTGGGGGGAGGGAGAGGAACTAGTCCGGAAAGTGTGATTACCATTACCAGAGTGTGAATGTCAATATTAATTTCCCGAGGCTGCCGAGAGATAAAAATTAACCAACCCAGCTAGGAATCGAACCCGCAACCTTCAGAACTGGGCACTCTGGAGCATACGCCCTAACGTTCTCGGCCATCCTAGTAAAATTAGAGAGGGGAATAACGTTTTTTATAACTTTCTCATGAATTACATTAAATTCCGCAGAGACGGTTGGGCGCCATATTTTTATTAATGGTTGGAAGGTGTCTTTTGTTAAAAAGATATGCAAAGGAACTTCATTGTGGTAGTCTATAATTTAAAAATAAATCGTTATTACACGAAAAACGGTTCGAAATATCCTTAAAACTTAAATGAATAAATTTTGAAACGCATAAACATAAACTTACAGCCATGATGGTTTCCAAGTTGACCGGATACATCCTGATGGCAGTGAGCGTGACACCTTGTTTTGTCCTGATCATCATCATCTGCGCCGCCAGCCTAAATTTTATGTCTGCCTTGTACCAATCACTGCTGTAGACGGCAAAATGGAGATCTGAGCTCTGTTGGGAAATTCAATGGCTTATGATATATTTTATAGCTAACTTATCGTCGATAAAACTAGTCAACAGTGAATGGAAAAATTTTATACAACCCAATAGAAAATGAATCTGAACCTATAAACTGGTTACACATACAGGCTAAATTATATTCACTGTTGAAAAAAACAAAACACAAATTAACAAAAACAACGCAAATGTTTTGACAGATGGGAGTAAATATGGTTATAATGTATTACCCCAAAAGAGAATATTAGTTTCAGGAAATCCACCAACATTATTACTATAAATGACACGAAATGATTTTTTTTCACAGATGCTTAGGAATATACCAGTGTTATTATTTTATCAAATATAACCAAATATAAATTTAGCCAAATCTATAATTCCAATTGACTAGATTATGATTCAAAACAGACCGAAATAATAACCACAATTCTAACAGTTAACCTTATGTTAATAATTCCAAACCAAGATGAAAGATCACTTAGATTTTTTTTAGTTAATGGTAAAAACATTTAGATCTGTAAAAATTTGTTTCTCTGAAGTTTAAAACCTTTACAAATACTCCGGCAAACCTTCATTGGCTAAAAATCACAGTACACTCACTATTCCCTACAGTTGAGTCGAATTACAGTAGAGCTAAAACGAATAGAAAGTACTTGCGATCTCGATTCTGTACGATCTCAAAAGTATACTATAAAATATAAAAATATTACCCCTGTAGGAAATCTTTTTATTATAAGATCTTCGTCGTATAGTTCAATTTGGATTTTTCGCCCCTAAAGGCAACTAATATGATACCTTTGAAGAGTTTATTATCCCTAAGAAACATGAAACTCATACTGAGTACTTGCGGAGTGAATATGACCACCACACAATTTGCTGAAAAAAATAGCATTACATCAGTGACACTTTCAAATATCAAAAACCAAAACAAAGAATATAATCTTTTCAGTATAACATACTAAACATATCTAGGGACCAAATTGTACGATTTTTTTTTTTTTAGGACATTTCTTTAACTTTTAAAAATCACAAAAAAGTGTATACTTTTTGAGTTATTCGGAATAACTTTTTTTCTAGCATCTTTTCGTTGAAGTATGTCATACACATAAATTTAAAGTGCATCGAGGAGAAGACTTAAGCCAAATTTCATTGAAATCGGTACATTCGTTTGGCACTAGTCTAACGCTACACTGTAGCGATACAGGTTTTTCGGCCGCCATCTTCAAAGGAAAAGGCAGATAGCAATGCCGATGTAGGAGGATCATCCTTGGTTGATTTCTGACCATTTATCCAAATTTGAAAAAAATTCGGTCTAGTAGTTTCGTAGAAAATAGGCGGAAGGCGGACGGACAATAACATTTGTATTCATTTTTCGAATTCCACGTATGCTGAAACGTAAAACCTCAAATTTTGAAGGGGGGTTAAGTTTTTGAATTTTTTGATCGATTACAACGGTTCATTATTGAAAATAATAAACCAAAATAAGGAAAAACTTGATAAGTTTTATAAAAAAACGACAAAAATTTAAACAAATTATATGTTTTCTAGTTTTTCTTAAAATTTAAGTTAAGCCAGTTAGAATCATGTTAAACCGAAAATAAATTATAATTTTTATTCCAAAATTTTCGCCTTTCACGAGGGAGGATTTACAAAGTTTACATGCTGCCAACCATAGTTTTTTTTTTTTAAAAAAAAAGTAACGATGAAAATGAGTTAAATAAGACCTTAATTTAATCTGATTTTATATATTTTGTCGATTAACATAATTTAAAATTAATTTTTCTGAGTAAATTTTACAAATGTTAGATTAGAGCCGGTAAAAACGGACCTAGGATGATTCAAACTTTCAATCCAGAGCGGATTGTTAACATTTTATTACTTTATTTATCGAACATTTAAATTCATTCCCAATAAAATAGGGTATGCATACGACTCCTCAATGAAGAATATTTGACTTTGGGAACATTTTTTTTATTAACACAATTGGTTTTAATAAACAAATTAACACAATCAATAAATTTAAAAAAAACCAAGGCGTATTTTTAAACTAATCTTTTACAACCACTTTAATATAGAGTCTCTAATCGAATAAAAATAGTGAACGAAATCAGCAACAACTATAAAATTAATCCTAAAAATATTTGGACTCTAAAAAAAACCAAAGTATAAAAAGAAATATTGAATATTTAATAGTTGACCGTTGCATTATAAAGGAAGGAGATGGTCCGGGGTTGCGGTCATAAATAGGCTAAATAGTGGTAAAGCTATTTTATTGAAAGCCTATCATTAAAATATTTTTACCACTATTTAGCCTTTTTATGACCGCAAGCCTGGACCATCTCCTTCCTTTATAAAAAGAAATGGTAATTGTAAGAGAAAACCAAAATCTGGCAATTCTGCCCCCAAGGTATCTACGGATTCTCTTTTGTTTTCCTTTTTAATAGATATACTATTTACTATATACAATAATAAACAGCGATATATTATGGAATGAGCAATATTTTATATATAGTCGTATCATGTGCGTTTGTGTATTCGAAAGCGATAGTAGTCGATGGAATTTTTTGAACATTACATGGAATCATCTAGGCCCCTACAATATCTTGTAAATTCCATAAAAATGGATCAAAAGTAGTAGGTGATTTGTTGGTCACATGGATTGGACAGACCAATAGTCATGAGACCAATTTTGCTCATTTTTGTGCAATTTTTTAAATGAAAAAATATCGAATAAATTAAAAAAAAATGATAAAAAAAAATAAACCTCTCACTTAATAAGATCTTTCCTTGCTATGGTAGTGTGGAAGAAAACATATTTATAATAAAAAAGTATTACAATAGTAAATACTGAATATTACAAACCACGCATACTTTCTTCAACCACTCACATATTAAATTTATTAAAAACTATTTTAGTAAAAAAAAAAAATTATCTCGTCTTACCGCACTTTCTATAACCGAAGAACCATAACAGAATACACTGACTTCAATGCTTTGATACCCCAGGTATACCACTGAGCGTCCTATGAACGCTAAATCTCCAGTTTTTCCCTAAAAAATCAATAATCATAAATGTAAGTTATTATTAAAATATATGTAAATAGATTATTAATATATTACTAACAAATAGAAACTGGAATACAGATACAATCAAAATAAAAGTCCCAATCCCAAGAACCATCGTCACCAGAGGATTGTAAATACTTCTCAGTTCATCTGCGAATCTGAAAAGAAAAAAATATTATGTATATAAAGAATCAAAATATATTTTTGTATTATAAAGTATATATATTATAAATTTTATGCTATCTTAATAATTTTGTTTCTAAATAACATTTGTTTTTCCCATTCATGATTAACATATTCAACACTTAGAGGATTTAATATTCTTCTTGAGCAAAAAATTTAAATTTTTATAAATATCTCATTTTACGTCCAGTCACCCATATATGAAATATATATTGAGTAAAAGTATTATTTCCATCGAAAATATAAGCCTCAAGTCATACTAAAAGGTCTTGGTTGGTGTGTTCATATAAACTGTCCAACTAAACTAAATAAAAGATTGATAATCCTGAAATTATATCTGGCAAATACGTCCTTTCGGTTTTTCTGTCATTATGATACACTTCCTATCTGATGAATTAATCTCTAAGGTGGATTGCTTATTCTGTTTGTAATATGTCAACAACTATATCTGTTAACTCTTGTTGAAACTAGCTTAGTATTATGTTTGCTATTGCACTGTGAATATGGAAGAATATATCTTATTTTGTTGTATTATTTTAAAACATGTAAGCGTGCTGCAGAAGCTCATAAAAAAATTGGAGTGTTTATGAGGATGATGCATTAACCGAACGCACTTGTCAAAATTGGTTTGCCAAATTTTATTTCGGAAATTTTGACATCGATGATGCTCAACGGTCTGGTCGCCCACATAAAATTGAAACGAGCAATGTTAAGGCCATTATTGATAAAAATCCCACCCAACCAGTGCGAGAGATCGCTATGTCGCACATAACCTTTTGTGCAAGCTCGGCTATGTCCGAATTCCAGGCTTAATGTCTGTGTCCTTCACATGATTTTTTTTTTCGAAAATCACAAAAAATGTTTTTACATCAATACGACTTTAGCTATCTACAAAAAATTATCAGGAATTTAGGGACACGTGAACTTCACAAAATGACATCAACGGGACTTTCGTAAACAAACTACAGATGGAGATAAAAAAAAAAAAACATATAAGGAGTTAAACCCAACGTTTAAATAATGAGAATATATACTCGTAGGTCAAACGGCATAATATTTTTGTAGTCAATTTTTTTTTCAATTTTTTCATCAAATTATCTTACGATTTAAATGGGTATTTATGAGTTTTAGTACCTTAGTAAATTAATTTATTAAATAAGAAAACGCTCTATTTTTTTTTTTAATTTTCATAGATAAAAATAATTGCTAGTAGCACAAAATGTATAAATATGAACTATGAAAGAATTTGATAATCAAATAAAGCTGAAAATGTAAAAAATATCGTCACAGGTTAACAACGAATTCACAGAAATAAGAGATGTAATATAGATGTAGGATATACAGTTGGAAATATAATGATATAAAGAAAATAAATTTGAAAAATTATGGTCAGAGGTAAAGACCCATTTTTATAAAATTTTTCAACTTTGTTAACGGCTTGATTTTATCGTAACCTACATCTTTGTCAGCAATGAAAAATTCTCAGAAATAAGGCGTTTTCTGATTAAATTAATTAATTTGTCTATATTGCTTTCATATTTTGATATGTTGCTGGAGGAGGTGACATCAAACGTCTCAATATTTTTTTAGGCAACTTTCTTTTGTCGATTTAGTGATGGAATTATCTTAAGATTCAACAAATGGGTGTTCAAGTGTTTTTGGTACCTCATGTAATTGACATAGTTGTCCGTACTCAGATTGAAAAAGCCCCATTTTTGAGAATTTTCCTAGATAAAAAAGTTGTAGATCACACAATAATGAAGCCGTTGGCGAAGTTTTAGGCGAAGTACCGCGGTGTATTCTAATTATTGTTGTCGATAATCTCTAATTTTGATATTATTGATTGAAAAATAATTTTTTCCATACAAAATTTATTATGTTTAAGCTAAACGTACGTTTTTATGAATTTTAAAGTTCTTATTTATAAGTTATAATTTCCAATATGCGGTTTTCGACGGATGTTGAGGTTGTCGAGTCTCCTGAGTCCGAATACACCAAACATCAGTTTGTCTGTCTGTCTCTCCCAAGATTATCTCAGAAACGAAGAGATCAATGTTGTCTATTTATCGCTTGTCTATTTATTTTGTAACATATGAATACTGAAGGTAGTCTCTCTAAGACAAGATGGCTTAGAATGCCTGCTCTTTATCTTGCACTAGAAAAGGTGATAAGTGTCTCAGAAGTGCAATGAAGTGGGACGATTTATTCTATTTTCTACACATTTTTTTAATTATTATTTTCCTACCACTGCTAGGTAAGAAAACTATTGCGATCGGGTAAAATTTCTGATGTGCTTCTTTTAATTTCAAGAGTTCCTTGAGTTTAAAAACACATTTTATATTCCTTGAAAGAATATTGATTTTCCAACAAAACTAGAAAAAAAAAAGTATGAATAGGACGAGTTTAGCAAATTTACAGTGTATTTAATTTTATAAGTAGATTGCTTTAGTTAATCTAAGAAATTGCACTCTTATCATTTCTCTGTCCGCTTTTTAGAAAAATAAGTTTAATTATTTTTTTTTTTTTACAAATCTGTAAAATATGCAATACTCATTCGGTAAAGTCGATTAATTTTTGCTTTGGATTAAGATATCCCAAAAACCAAAAAGTGGACAATATTTCATCATATTTGTAATGAACTATTATTAAAAATTGTATCTCGTCGCGACGCTGTGTTAGAGAGTCAAAAACTGAAAAAGAGATTCAAACAGCTAAATCATAACGACTGTTTTCAGATTTGGACTAAAATATCTCAAAATTCTAATACCATGAAAAATTCAGACACATGTTTGATATTGATATTTTTCTTATCAGCCGTAAAAAGTATGTGTTTCTATTCGATTTTCTTCAGAACATTTTTAGAGTATGATGCAAATGAAGATCAGTTAGAGCAAGCTTACCAGAATAATTTATACATACACATTTGTAATTGTATGTATCGTAAAAGTTATTACTTTGTGGATACAACACAATATATACATGTATATTTCATATTATTAATCACACCTTGTTGATATTTTCACTTCTATCGTATGGTCTAAACCACAAGCCTTAGTTTTTTTTTAAATCCAAATATGGCTAAAATATGCACCTCCTCCTTTTCATATAGGATCCATATACAGCCATACGTTTTCTTATTTTTATTTATTTTTTTAACTTGAAGTATTGATCTGGACCTGTGGACGAACTATTGACTATAATCATGACGAACTATAATCATCCGATGGTCTTTTGAAAAAAATGAAACTGACATGTCCGACATAGAGAAGGATAGCACACAGTTATACCTCTTTCCTGGCTTGTTTCAATTACTATAGTTTATTATGGAAGGACGTCTCTTATCCAGCGCCTTTTTAATCTCCTGCACTTTTTAATGGACATGGCTTATTATGTCCATGTAATTTAGTATGGAATCGTATTGAAAATAATCCTTTATCTGTTAAAATTAAACTTTTTAATTCAAACTAAATAATTTTGACAGGACATTATACTAAATGTGAATTTAGTTATGAATAAAAATTTTGTATGCTTGTATTTGAATAATTTATGTGAAGGAGTAAGTGCACGATATAAACGTTTTATTACATAAGAGATAAAAATTAAAAATAATTTTTCAGTTGAAAATTAGGCATGTGCTGGAAGTACAACATGATATTAAAGAACATTTAATAAAATAATTAATATAATGATATGCAAGTACTTAATTTTGTATTATATTATAATAAAATATACCTTAAAAGTTTTTGATGACTTTGTAAAATTCTGTACATTTTGGTGTTTATTTGGTGATTGGTCATTCTGTATTCAACACTATTTTTTTCATATTCATAATTTATCTTCAGTGACGAAACATGTGAACTTAATAATCTGAATTGTGCAGTAAGGCACATCAAAAGCTGATAAAAGAGGCAGGTAAATAACAATATGAAGGAACCACACCACGTTACCAAGAATCCTTCATAGAATAAAATGAACTCATAGCAAGGTGAAGTGTCCATTGGTACAGGATACCAACCAGTAGAAATCTTCTTCCTGCCTCCTGTCGTAGAAAATGTATTACCTGTGCGATGCATAATGTATTCAACTGATATACCAGGTGAGAATAGTAAATATGCTCCTGCAATCGCAATTGCGACAAAAACTATTGCACATGTCTTGTTAGAATTTCTACTTACTTTACGATATATGAATTCCACTTTCTCTTGTTGCATATCGTTTACAATCTCTTCGAGAAAATCCTTTTTCATTAAATTGTATAACCTTGAAAGGCTGTCAATATTATACCAAAAAACAATATATCGACACAAAGCCTGTAGTGTAGGCAATGAATGGAAATTCAAAATTGTAGCCTTTTGAATATCAACTTCGATGACTAACAAACCGACATATGTACACACTACGCTCGGTGCTGCAATGATTACGGTTATGAATACTTGAATCTTCAGAATAATATTCTGTTTTCCTGTCTTCCTGTAGTCGTTGATGATCTGCCATATCCCGAAAAGTTTGAGGAACCTGATTTGTAGACCATTGATGATATCTGAGTCTTCAATAACCGTCTGATGGGCCATGGTTCCAACCAAGAAAGAACTGAAATCATGAAGAGCTTGTTGATAGGGCTTTTATACAAACCCTTCCCTAACTCATCCAGTTTCTTATTAATGTTCCAATTACCAAACATAAATTAGAATTGTAATAATTGATAGCTAGTAAGGCCCTGTCAGTTAATTAGGAGAAATTAATTTCTGTTGAAGTAGATCCATTATGAAATGAACCCTTTCGACTACAGAATATGAAGGAAGTAGGCAATTTCCATTAATATTATCTTCATATTAACTGATAAATTAACTTTTGTGTCATTAACTGAAAATTAAAACAGTCAAGGTAAACATTTCAATTTTTTTAAAATACACAATAACCTCTCCAAAAAACCCTGTAATGTAAAATTCTCATAGCGAAAAAAATAAATAAATGAAGTGCTGAATTTTAAACTTTATATTTGTAATCACACAGCAACAACAGTGAAATATAATAATATGCGTGCAGCAAGAAATAAATAAAATAAATTTGAGGATGAATAAAAAGTTAGACAAAATCACTATATATGAATGAATAAATGAAAACGTGTTTATTAAACTTTAAAAAAAAAAAAAAATATATATATATATATATATATAATATATATATATATATATATATATATATATATATATATATATATATATATATATATATATATATACAATTAACAACACATAGGCAATGGGAAATTCCGTCTGTCGAGATCTGTGTGTAATTAATAATAATATAATTAATAAATATTCATTACATTTATAACTAAAATAAATGAGTAATAATATATCTACAGTATTATTATATATTTATACGTCCATTCTAGCAATTTATTCCTTCACTGTTTCATTTGTTTAAATGGAGTATTCAAAAAACAAACATTAATACCTCATAAATTCAATCAACAAGAAATTTAATTTCAATAATAATAATGATAACATAATTCAGTGCTCCATAACACATATTTTCCTGACCCATGGAAATTGCCCATTTTCAAAATGATAGACATAACTAAAAATCCACCATAATACCCATCCTCTTACCGTCATTCCTCTCTTTTTTTCATCATGTTCAAATCCTGGAAAAGCTCACCTTTAAACGCTTCTATCTCATCCTTAATTCTAACCACATTATCCCAGATCACGATTTTGGATGCCGCACATCCCATTCCATGATCCAGCAATGCCATCGTGTGGTAAATGTAGTCTCCTCTGCATTGGAGTGCAGAATGTATGCACGGGAGTCTTTCTCGACGTTGAACAGGCGTTTGATAGAGCTTCGCTTAGTACATCCTGGATTGATGTACTAACTACGTAAACTCCAACCACCTACCTACTTCCTCACTATCCGTTCCTTCCTTACTGATAGATACTTCCAAGTAAATCACAACAATACCTATTAATCACTTTATTCCCAGTCTGCTGGTGTAGGGTAGTACCCTAGGTCGTATCCTCTACACAGTATATATAGCTGATATCCCAACCCATCCTGACACTGTCATCGCAACATATGCTGATAACACATGTTTGCTATCTGTTAATAATGACCCAACCGTTGCATCCCAAACTCTTCAATCGCACATCATAAACCTTGAAGAATGGTGTCAAAACTGGAGAATTCCCCAAATAAATCCCATCAAATTACCTTCATTCTTCGAAGTAAACCTATGACTTCCTGCCCTACAGTATCATTTAACAATTCCCCACTTATCCATGTTGAGCAACTCAGATACCTATGTTTCCATCTGTGCAAACTTCCCACTTATAATCCTCATACAAGACTGAAACGACAAGAAACTGCTCGACGTTTCCGACTACTCCAACATTTACTAGAAAACGCTCCAAACTTTCTATTAATTACAAAAGACTTATCTACATAACTATAATAAGACCTATATGGACATACGGAGTTGAGCTATGGGGCTCCACTAAACCATCGAATTCCTCTCGTATTCAATCCTTACAATCCAAAATCCTTCGTAAAATCCTCAATGCTCCTTACTTTGTTACAAATAAAATCATTCATAATGACCTTACTGTACCATATGTTTCCGATTTAGCCCAATCCAGATACCTATCCTTCCATAAAAAACTTCAAAACCATCCGAATCCTCTCGTTTTAAAAATTGCTACCTCTTCGATATCTGATAACTCTCCAAGGCGTCTGAAAATTAGATAGCCTCGTGATCTACTTATGAAAATATTAGAGTGCTACCAATGGGTAGTTTTTCAACAAGCGTTTTCATGTGATTGTATTACTACCTTGTGCATATTTACTGGATGTATTTTCAGTTGTAAATCTCATGAATAAATAAAATAATAATAATAATAATAAAAACAAATACAATAAAACAAACGTTACAATAAATAAACATAATATTGGATGTCTCGCATACGCAGACGACGTTGCCCTTTTATCCGAAACTGAAGAAGAGGCGATTGCCCAAATAAACACCCTCTCGGAAATAGCGAGGAAAACAGGCTTACAGATATCTTTTGAAAAGACGGAATTGATGACCACGGACGCGAATTTTAAGAAGAACACAATTAAAACCAAATACGGAACGATAAAAGTAACTCAAAGATTTAAATATCTTGGAGAAATCATATGCAGCAATGGGTCAGAGAGAGAAGGGTTTAAGGAAAGAATCGCCAAAATCGAGAAATTAAGCTTCGCCACCAGTGAGCTTTATAAAAAGAAGAACTTATCTCTAAAAGCCAGAATGCAGCATTATAACACGGTCGTCAAGCCAGTGGTACTCAACGCAACAGAAACTTCTTGTCTTCCCAGCCTAGAGAGCCTTCTGAAAATAGAAAGAAGAATTCTCAGAAGAATCTACGGGCCTAGGAGAACACCTGAAGGATACAGGTTGAGGTCAAATGAAGAAATATATAAGGAAACAACTGATCTAGAAACTGACGCTAGAGTGGGAAGGCTGAGGTTCTATGGCCATATGATAAGGATGAATCCTGAAAGACTTAACCATAAAATCTTTCAGCGCATCCACAGTCATAAGAATGTAAGCGGGTATTTTAAACAGATTAAGGATGATATGGACCAAGTGGGGCTAAGAGACCAAGATTGTTTAGACAGAGATGAGTACAGGAAGGCGCACAAGAGAATAACGGTTCTTGCGGTCAAGAAGCGCTCCAAAAAGGGTGTTGCGTGGTCTGAGGAGAGAAAACGTAAGCACGCGGAGCTCATGAGGGGCATATGGGAGAAGAGGAGGCAGATGAAGAGGAAGCATTAACTTCATGGTATTCGCGTGGTCTTTAATGCCTGTTCGTGAAAAAAAACAAAAACATGATATTGTACCAGTATTTTACTAACTGACCAATTAAGATCTTTGTAATGTGGCCTGCTGTACATAATTGCTTAAGGCTTTTCAATTAGAACAATTTAATAAACTAAATAATTCTTCCGGAGAACAGGTCCGCTGCCCAAAACATTTCTCTCTTGCCTCACTGTACAAAAGTGAATCATATCCTCCTTTTCTTGAGAGTTACCGCACAGTTATAGTCTTCCACCATCCATGGTTTTAGGCTTATAACTAAAGTCCTACATCGAAAACTTGTATATATATATATTGTATTTCTTTCTTTCATAAACTAAAATAATTAATATATAGACAAAAAAAAAGAAATAAAAGTTAGACAGAGATGCAAATCTGGCCAGGAGAAAAAACAAAGGACCACATAGATTAATCTAACCGACACTGCTGAGTAGAGATGCTAGTGGAAAAAATACTAAATCAATAACGATAAATAATGTGAAATGAATCACAAACAAGCTAAAAAAGTATGACAGTGCATACTACCATGGACAACTTCTTCAAGAAAGTGTATATCAGAAAAAATAATCATGAATAAGAATGAGAATCGGGCATGCAGCCTTCACCTATGGACCTAATGGGAGGTCTGGAAACAACACTTAATGAAACAAGCAACATATTATAACAACTTGCGGACTTTATTCACACAATACAACATACCTCTCTCCAATAGCGGACCCAGGATTTAATTTTGGGGGAGGCTTCAGCCCAAAACCTTTTTTTTTTTTTTTTTTATAAAAATAACGATTAAAGCGGCAGTGGCCACGAGACCTTTTGTAAATATGGATATTTTGGAGTTCTAGCAATGGCCAGATTCTCCACTCAAGTCATGAGTGTCTGTGGCTGTAGCGCTCTTACTCATCCTCCGCTGGTTTACAATACCAGTGAAGTGGCTGAGGGAGAAGCGTAGGGATCTCCTAAGCCTCCCTTTTCCCTCCACATGTGGAGGGGACAGGATTGGTTCGGAGATCACCTGGCAAATTGTAAATAATTTATATAGGTATGTTTTATATAAGGTGTTTGTTTTACTTTTATTTCTATTTTTATTTACTTATGTGTATATATATATTTTTTTTTCTTTACTCTTTTGTTCTTTCTTCTTATTCTTTTGTTATTACTTTATTTATTTATATTTTTGTATATACGGTATGAATGCAATCTCTGAACTCTATTATAAGTGTCCTTAGACTGTGACAAATTGTAATATTTCTGAATAAAGTGTTTTAATAATAAAAAAATAACGATAATTACTTCGGAAATACAGAAAGAAACTAGCTACCTATATGAAATGGTATTTAAATGATTCCTTAAGTCCTTTTAAATGTAATTACACGAACAATAATACTTTAAGAGGTATTTTTAAAAGTTTTTTTTCCATAAAACATGGTTATATTTTACCATGTTGGGGAAGGGGCTTCAGCCGAATTCCCCTCTCCCCTCCCCCGTAGATCCGTCCGTGCTTCCCTCTATGACTGAAGCACTTTCATATAATAAAAAAAAAATTCAAAATATAATTAAATTCATAAAATCCATTATTATTGTACTTTTGATTTAACCATTGCATAACTATAAAAAACAAACCATTAAATAATTGTAAAATATACAGAATTTATGTTATAATCATTAACTATGCCGCTGATGACCGTATTTGATAGAGGCGTAATGTAA